GATTGGTTGCCAGGTTTTGTTGATTTTTTTTTCTCCTCTTTTTTACTGAAGCTATGCTGGTGTTTGTGAATCTCAATGGCTTCCCGGTATAGCCTGGTATAGTGGCTGGTGGGGGTGTTCCGTATCTCCTGTGTTTTCAAATAGGAAAACTAAGGTAAAACTAAGTTTGGCACACGCGGGCTCTTTAGACTCAGCAATGCTTACAACTGTACACTAGTCTCTCAATAATTGAATTCTACTTTGAGCCTTAAACGGTTTCAGTGGGAACTGCTTTCATTGGGAACTGAGTCTTGCAGTTTCTTACACCAACATGGATGCACTGAGATTGGAAAGAGCCATCAGAGAACAACATCTAAGCTAACTCTGGCTTTAGCAGTACTAGTGGCTCTTAGCCTGGCTGCTTCTTGGGCTAAATAAATGGTCAAAGAATATTTGAGACTGCAGATTTTCAGAAATTATGAAAAATGTGTAAGTCTGCTTTATTCCTTGTACTAGAGATCACTGGAACCCTGTGTAAAGCAGGGCATGGAATACTAGAGTTGGAAAGGATTATTTAGGCCTACCTAGATCAGTGCTATAAACAAATTAAAGCATCTCTAACAGATAGCAGTTCTAGCTTCCACTTAACCACAGATGCCTCAAAAATAAAAGCAGTTGATATCAAGTTTATTTATTGTAAATCAGCTACCAACTTTTAAATATAACTCCATAGCATACAGAAAACAGAATTAAAAAACATAAAATTAGCAGTTACTTAAACCATAAAATTGCAATATTAAAGTATTAGCCAAAGATTAATGCAGTAAGCCCAGGCTTGACTAAAATATTCAAATCATCGACCTAATGCTTAGGTTTCTGATCCTAGAAACATCCTGTTACTATTCTACTAGTATTTGCAGCATCAGTCATCCAAGAACACAAATTAATGTAACTTCTGTGCAAAGTGGAAAATTATGACATCCGGTGGCTATTCTTTTTAACTACAAACTGGCTTGTAATCCAAACAACATTTTTAAAGTTTTTTTTTTTAATGCAGTAATTATAAGCATATATCCATCTCATTCAGTGAAGGAAGTCAGAGTAGCTATCTGTTCCCATGGTTTGCTCTGATGAAAGTTTTGTAAACCTATTTGCTTTCATGGGTCTACTCCTGTATCAGAATAAAACATAGGAGAGGATCTCTTCTACAAATGGAAAATCCTTACAGCCAGATCGTTTCGATTTGGCTGTAGATAGTTAGCCGTGAACACTTGGCACTTGCTTAGAGATACTGTACGTTCTTAAATTTAAATTTAATTTAAAGGTTTAAATTCATAAATCTTCACATCGTTCATACAAACCCTGGGTGAAAACAGTAGGCTAGTCTGAGAAATGAAGTTCTGGCTTGCATAACAGAGACTGCTTTGGGATTAGCTGATAAACATATTAATTAGTAAGAATGGAGAGACAGAAATTTTCTTTGAGGGACTGCTCTATACAAGCCACAGCATCCAACTCAATCTAGAGATGATACTCAGAGTTTTTAATTTCCCGCGAGGAAAGCGTTATCTGGGATGCTAAGGAAAATTCCGCCTGGTTAATGTCTGCATGGGAAACTACCCCGAAATTTCTACTCTGTAAACTAGAAAGTCGTTTTAAAAAGTCCCAGAAGGCGGAAGAGCGAAGCACCTCGTTGCACTGCCAACAAAACTGCATATAGTAGATTCAAATATCACATGAGAATTCCTCTCCAAAGACTCCAACTCCCGAGATACAGTTCGACTTTCTTTTTTTATATGGACGTTTTAAAATAAAAGGAAAACCGTTCCTTCCATTCGTTTAAAAAGAAGGAGGGGACAAATGTGACTGGCTACTTAGAATCTAAAGCCCGCCCCGTCCCACCTCGCGACAAATTATGATAATGACAATAGAAGGGTGGCTAGAGAGGAACATTGCCGCAAGGCGAGCTGCAGCTCGTAAAGCCGGAAGCGGAAATTGCGTTAGGCCGCCTTTTCCTTCGAGCTCCATTTTCTGAAGAGCGTTGGCGCGCACGGTCGGGGTGGCGTCCTAACATCTTGCGCATCATGACGGACCGTTACACGATTCACAGCCAGTTGGAGCACCTGCAGTCCAAGTACATCGGGACCGGCCATGCCGACACCACCAAATGGGAGTGGCTCGTGAACCAGCACCGGGACTCGTATTGCTCCTACATGGGCCATTTCGACTTGCTCAATTACTTCGCCATCGCCGAGAACGAAAGCAAGGCCCGCGTCCGCTTCAACCTCATGGAGAAGATGTTGCAACCCTGCGGGCCGCCCGCTGACAAACCGGACGAGTCTTAAGCTTGGAGCTGTGAGCCCGTCGGCGCTTCCGCCCAAGCGAGGAGGGAAGGAAGGATGAAGGAACGCAGCCTTGCCGACGGTGGGGGACCTGGCCCGGTGAACCATTATATTCTCCTCTGCGTCCTTCAAGCCACCTGTGACTGCTTGTTGACTTGCGTGGCTAACTTAATTCCGACATGTTTTGAACACCTACGTGGCAGGGAGGGCATCTTCTGAACTTCAGCTCTCTGCAGCCTGCGGGCACTTGTGATAGACTGAGCAGAACGAGGCCCGATGGTTTGTCTCTGGCTGTGGCTTCCTACGCATAGACAGGCACAGGGTGGCTTGCTTTAAAGGCTTGTAAATGCACCTTTTTCTTCATTTCCCGTTTTGGAGGGCTTGGGAGGCATTTTCACAATTTGGTTTAATAAAAGATTATGCATTTTTTTAAAAATAAATCTGTGTGGGTGATCAATTACAATAACAAACCAATGAGCCGCTGACAGATGGCATACTATTTAATACAGCTCTAAAATCTGTTCAAGTTGTACATTGTGGCTATACAGTCCTTGAGCAATCTCTGGTAAAAATGGTTGGATATTACAAATAGGTTATATAATTGGCCTTTGTCTCATGAATTCTGTGCAAGGATTTCTATGTTCGGTCAACCAAACTTTAAATTAGTTTTAATGACAAAACCAAAGGGTTATATTTGTTAACCAGTGTACTGATCAATAGACTAATGTAAAACTATTCTGCATTACATATTATTTTGTGATCTTAACTGTGGTATTGCCCCAGGTAAAACCAGTACATAATTTGGAGGTGGTCCTGGATTCTCAGCTCCTGCTCAGTGAGAAGGTAGCAGCAGTGATCAGGAAGGCTTTTGCACAGATCTGTTTGGTGTGCCAATTGTGTCCCTTCCTGATGAACAGGCCCTTCACACAGACATTCATCTCCTAGTCACTTTCCATTTGGACTATTGTAATATGTTCTACAAGAGCCCGTTTAATGTAATTGTTTAAAGCAGCAGGCTAGAAACAGGGAGTCTGTGAGTTCTAGTCCTACCTTGGGCATGAAGCTAGCAGGGTGACTTTGGGCCAGTCACTCTCAGCCCTAGGAAGAAGAAGGCAGTGGCACTTTGGAAAAATCTTGCCAAGGAAATTGCAGGAACTAGTCCAGGCAGTCTCTGGGAGTTAAGACTGATTCAAAGGCAGCACACAAAAGTGCTCTACATGGGGCTACCCTTGAAGGTCACTCTGAAACTAACTGGTCCAAAATGCAGGCAAATCAGTAGAGTGCTTCTTGCTTCATGTACAGAAAACTGCTGTTCTTTTACCTGCACTGGCTAACTAGTGGGCTTCTGGTTGTAATTCAGGGTGTTGTTACCTCTAAAGCTCTTAGCACTTCAGCTCCTAGTTATCTACAGAGATGCTTCTCTCCTATTGTTACTGCCCTATTAGTAAGGTCTGAAAGAGTTGACACCCTCCTGGTCCCAGCTGTAAAGCATTGTCACCTTGAGAGACCTAGAAGACACATCTTGGTAGCTGTTCCTGTGTTGTGGAACAGTATGCCTGCCCGCTGAGTTCTGTTTGGCCCGACTCTGAGGCTTCCATAAAAACCTGGCTCTTGTCAGGCCCTGGAGGAGGATGAAGTGGTTTGCTCCCTGATGGCAGTTTGGTGAAGAATATATTTTTGGTGTCATCTTCCCTAATAAGCACCATGTATTCATTTGGTGATTTTGTTTTGTTTGTTTTTAGTTATTATTTACTGGAGATTTTAGTCCTATTGCGTAAACTCCCTAGAGTCACTTTTTGATTAAGGCAGCATAGAAGTTGACAGATAAGTAAACTGGAGGGGAAAAAAAGATAGGAAAAATAGGCCATAGAGCAGGAAACACTCTCATTTACATAAGATTATTTACCATTTGTAAAAACTCTGTGGAATACAACCATGCTAGTTTTATTATCACATACTTCAATCCATCATACAAATCTTAAGAGAGATGGGAGGTTGAATGTTAGTAAACTGGTTTGCTGAACTCTTCTAGTTCTGGTGCTGTAAAAAGTAACGGCTGCTATTCAGAAACCTGGAGGGCATGTTCTCCTTATCTTCTTCCCTGAGTTGGAACCCTAAGAGCAGGCAAGCGTTAATTTAGGTAGTTTGAAATAAAGCAGATGATAACACAACAGCTTTGGTGCACTGCCCAATTTGAGAAGTATGGATGGTGGGGATAAATGATGTGTAGTCTGATCCTGAGTATGATTTCATAGATGTGTTACTGAACATCATATTTCTTCTCCTAATATGTGTGTTAGATTGCATCTTTTGAAGATACAAGAACAAGTAGCACAGGAGAAAAGGGATTATGAAGAAAAGCTGGTTTAAGAGGCTGAGGGAAACAAATTGGATAAGTATGTACAGGATGAAAATAGTGGAAAAAACTGGAAAAGAATGTGCTATTGAAAGAAATCATCTCCAGCTTGCAACTGTTAAATTTACATCAACTGACCAGGCAAACTTAAGAATGCACAGGAAGAATCAGAATTTTGGAACAATTTTACAATATTTTTTCACCAAAGCCTTTGATAAAGAAAGCTGTCAGAATGGTAGTTTTGTTTAATGAAACTGATCTGTAACTATTTGTATTTGGAATAAATCAGATGTATATAAATGAGAACAAGTCTTGTAAATGGTATGTTAGAGGTGTGAAGCATATAGAGAATGTTACAGTTCTCCATTTCATAGCTTATTTCTATGTAACAAAATTCTTAATTGTTATTTCTAACTGATTAGTCTTTTCTGAGAGGGTAAGTAATATGAAGATCTGAATTTCATGACTCCTGAGTGATTTAAAACTATGTCTCCCATGTATAAACCTAGTGTTTTACCCATTGTGTTACTGTCTTGGATAAGCAAAATACTCTACCCTATGTTATATGACCAGGGCAGAACTGTATGGGCCTAAATCCACTCAGATCAATGTGCTGGATTAGACCATAGCCTGTAAGCCTACACAATTAATGTATCTTACCCAGATTCTGTTCCAGAGGGAATAGGGGGTGCTTTTTTGTAAACAGCTCCAGCTGAAGGTTCAATACACTGTCCTTCAAAACAATAATACATCTATAAAGAACTCTGAAAAATATATCCTGAGAATGATCAGCAAATTCAAGCAATTTAAAAGCACTGTTGATTCCATTTACAGACTCAAGCATTAACCTGGCCATTTTACATTAAATTCAGTGGAATTTGACCATAGTTCAGTCATTGCTAATCCAAAATCCACTTTTTGAACTTTACTCAGACAGAGAGATGGTTCATGCTGATTCTATGACTTGACTTTAAAATTAAGCCAGAGTAAGATTAGTCAGCAAAAGGATCTTGAGCATTAATTTCACCTCACCCAAATATTATGTGCTGATCTGAATGCCAGTGTAACTGTGGGGAAGCAAACAATGGGAACAGTTACTCTCCAATCTCTATTACATGCTTTTGCCAGATCTTAAAATTATTTATTCTCTGCCTTTTAAGCACTTTACATGAATAACAAGTTATATAATCAATCTTGTTTTTAAAATAATAGCAGAGAGTAGAATACCAAAAAAAAAAAAAAACCCTGTAGGAAGCAATACTTTAAACTATATATTGCAACAAGTATATGTCAAATTTAATATCACATAATCTTAAATGATTGCAGTTGGCTTGTCAGTAGCAAAGCTTGATTTTACAGTGTAAGTTCTAGCGTGTCTTTTTTTTAAAGGATTTCAGATAAATACTGCATTGGCTGTAATATTCTTCATATACAGTATCTGCAAATATAGCATTAGTGGTAAAATATCGGTGTTGCAGTTCTGATGGGATGACTTTCATCCTTCAGTATTTCCGAACATTCTTTCAGATATGTTGCTTCTTACCTGTTGCAGATGGGCCAGTATTTGTCCCTTCTTGCAATTTGTTTTGAAGTAGTGTCCCCACAGCATTTGTTAAAGTTACTTCTTTTTTGGGAGCTCCTTGTTTCCCCTAGAAAATAGAGAGCAAATAACTAGACAGGGTCCCAACAGTGGCTCACAGTGTAATAATTATTTTTATATTTTAAAAATCCTCAAGGAAGCAAGAATAAAAGAAAAAAAGCCTTAAGCCTATAAAGAACAATTCCATGAGCCTTGATAAACATAGCAATATTTGCAGAAAGCCATCAAACTCTCTTGCACATGATTTAAATTTTCTTATTACGTCCCTACCCTCAACCATGTTATTGGGCAGAATAAAAATACAATAAATGTTTGTTGCTGGATAAAGTCAATTCTTCTTGCTTATGGCCTTTGGAAAGGTAAAAAAGTCTGTCTTCTGGAGATGGGGTCCCAAGCTTCTACAAATGACAGAACCCAAATTCCTTCTAAGATTTTCCTTTCATTCCTGCTATGAGCTTAGCATCTAAAACCAATTAATCCTCCTCTGACCAGTGGGAGAACTGTCTGTCTCTGCCTGAAGCATTCACTTTGAATAAATTTGAGTTTGGTTGGCTTTTTTAAAATTATGGCTTCTGAATCTTTGATTCACATAAAGGTTACATCATCTTTTTCTAAGTTTCAGAAAAAGTGACCATTAGGAACTGTAATTTAATATTCTAGTCCAAAGAAAGCTTTTACGTAATAAATGAAGCACAATTCTAGAACAATTAACTTGAAGGACAAAGGAAGGGCGAAGAACCATTACTGGAAAAAAAAAAAAGATTTTGCTTTCATTTGTTCCTTATCCCAAAGGAATTATTTGTCACTTCCTGAACCTGATATGAATGAGCCACAACAATGAAAGAAGGAGTTTGGTCAAAATTCTGCCATTTATATTCCCTCAAATGTTCCTTCAAAAACGGATGAGATAAAAATGGTGGAAGCAAAGAGCTTGAATAGAGTCCAATTACTTACAGAAGCTGGTTTGCCTCCTTTCTGGCCCGGGACAAAGGGTCGTCTGGCAGCTTGTTCTTTGCAAAAGTTGATGTGCCTTTCTGCGGCAGCCTCATTAAACCTCCTCATACAGTAAGGGCACTGAATATAATCTGAATATAACAAAGCAACACTGGTCAGTTCAAATTATACTTGGAAGACAAGTATATGGATTGCAACACTATAGAAATGGAGCAAGTACAGTAAATGAATGAATGACAGTTCCATAGTACTAGTACTAGTCACAATAAATATTTATTAGTTGTCAGAATTATACCAGCTTTTGATTCAGAAAGTAATCTACATTCAGTTATAAAGAGCAGAACAGATTGCATCTACAAATATATTTGGTCACTTTAGTTATATTATCTTGAGTATAACCATTTCTTTTTTAAATTACTTTTCTGGAAAACAGTAACTAAGTAGAAAGGTGTTTAGTGTAGGCAGCCACAGAGATGACCTTGGAGAAACCATGCAGAAACAATTGCGAAAAAAGCATGCATTAAGTCCGGAAAACACAAAAGTATGAGAAAGAAGCTCAGGCTGGCTCCACTATAATTCATTGGGGTATGAGAGGGAGGAAAGGAAAAACACAGTCCAGCTTTCAAGATTTTGTTATTATAACTTATATCAATAAAGTCAAAGTTATGGAGCAAGTTTTCTGACCGGCCCTACTGCAAAGGGCTGACAGTGGATCATCTGATATATTCCATAATGTTTCATTCAAAAACTGCCTCTTATCTTCCAAACTATTTTTTAAACTCTTGAGTTTTGAGATTAGTTGGAAATGCTTGTTGAAAAAGTGAGGGCAACTACACCTTCATCAAAAGAGTCATAATCTGCAGCTATCACGCAGTAGGAAAAATGAGGCTGAGACACTCTTATAGACTATTGCTCTCTACAGCCGGGACCCAGGGATCTGCATTGGCAAGCAACAAGCTTTTCCAACAAGCTTTTCTACTTTTCTACTTTTAAGTCAAGATACAGTTTCAGAACAAGTAAATCACCTGGGTTAATGGATGGAGGTGGTGGTGGTGGAAGTGGGCGGCCTTCTTTCATGGCTTGAGTGGCATGTTTGGCTGCTCTGATCGCTGAAATAAAATCTTCATGCTGTTGTCTCCAATTTGATTTTTTCTCCTGTGCGTTCTGGAAAGGAAATAGATTTCCCTTCTGCCAATCAGAGAATATAGTAATTAAAGATGTTGCTTTGAAAGGCAATTTCAAGAGATTTTGAACAGATTATGAATAATAAAACAATCCCAAGGGTTATTATAAGAGCCAGTTTGGTGTAGTGGTTAAGATACCAGGCTGAAAACTGGGAGACCTTGAGTTCTAGTCCCGTCTTAGGCACAAAGCCAGGGGGGTGACCTTGGGCCAGTCACACCCTCTCAGCCCTAGGAAGCAGGCAATGGCAGGCCACTTCCAAAGTCTTTTGAAGAAAACTGTAATGACTATTGCAGTCAGTCGCCAGAAGTTAACACTGATCTGAAGACACCAAAAAATAAAAATGTTTATTATTATTAGCTGTTTAGGGCAAAGAGAAATTCCCAGGTTTGCTTGTGTTGTAGGGGAGCCACTGCCAAAGCAGTCATTGAATGGGATTGATGAGGGCTTGGAAAAGGAGATAGCTTGGGAGGGTTGACAGAGTAGGAGATGTGGAAGGGAAGGCAAGCAGCAGCCCATTAATTCATTAATTAATTCATGTTAGAGTTGTATTATACCTTTTCCCCAGGAACATAAATCAGCATACCTAACATTCCTCCAATTTTTCCCCTCCACCGCAAGCCTGAGAAATATGCTGAGCTGAGACAGAATGTCTGGCCTAAAGTCATTGATTTTCCATGGCTGAGGGTGGACTTAAACCTGGGTCTCCTTGGTCCTGGCCCAACTCGATAACCAGTATGTCACACTGATTCTCCATGGGTTATACATGGATAATAGGATCTGAAAAGATATGAACCCTCAAAGCCATTCCTTTTAACAGCAATCATCTCATATGAATGTTGGAGGGGCAGAAGACAAAAAATGTACACCCCATTTTCAATCAGATAACGAAAGGAAGGAATTCCAGGCATTAGCTAGATGTTGGCGATCAAGTAATAAATCTTATGGGACCTTCCAAACCTCCACATTAAGACAGCCCCAATCTATACGAAGAATCCAGATGCCCCTTTCTCCAGTTCTATTGTCGCAAGCCACCTCTATGGCAATATCTGAAGACTTTGATACTCCTTAATGAAAACATGGGTATGGTGTTGACAGGCCTACCTTTGAGGGTGGCTTCTTTTTCACTGTTGGAATGTCAGTTCCCTGTAGTCGTTGTTTCAAGGAATTGAATGGCTTACGCTTCTTGCTGAAAATTTTTTTGCATATTGGATTGTGTCTTGCCTAAAGGAAAGGAAAAGTCTTACGGTCGCGTTTTCTGAACGAGTGCAGTCAGACATTATTTCTGATTGCATTTCAATCTCTTTCCTTTTCCCCAAGGAAAGTTGTGATAGTTTCAACCTGCTTAGTGTATTACAGGACCTTAATGCTTAATTGAGAATTAGAAAAGAATAGGACTTTCAGGGAAGAAATGGCAGATTGAAGACAGCTCCATGAAAAGTGGAGCCAACGATTGCAGCTAAGAACAAGGATCCAATGATTGGCTCCTTTGACCCTCTCTGGAGAAGGAGAGGACATGAGGTTGCCCATATCATGCTCCATATGGTTGCTCCTCATGAGGAGACTGCAAGTCTCTGGAGGTGGGAGAACTAGGAGATAAGGGGATTTTGCCATTCTTGCTCTAGCCACAGTCGGAGCCTTTAAAGGACACTAAGATCTCATTTCCTTTGTTAATCACTTTTAGAAATTGCTTATTAACTGCTTTAAAGAACTTAGACACCTTCAAAATGAGAAGGCTGGAAATACCAGGTGAGTGTCTTCAATCCTTAATATAAGAAAATGAAACTGTATCTTTATAAGGTTTAAGAATTCAAAATAAACAGCAAAAAGTAAGACAAGGTTTTGGCTATAGAAAGTTTTAAACAGATTAAAGCTCAGAAAACATTGGAATATTTGGAATATTAAGACTTTGAAATTAATTTTAAAGAATAAATGCATTTTTGTTGGAAAGAAAAATTATTTTCGATACTGGAGATGTAACAAAATAAGCAACGTATAATGGCATTCAGAGATATTTTTGAGGAATGGGACTGGGATCTTGAATCAACAATGTCAGCTGTGTTGTGTGTTCTTATGAACAGTCTGTTGCCAGTAGAAACTATTACAGAAAAAGATTTGGAACAAAACTTATCTGACTTGATTGTGGAGAACAACATGAACAAGAATTTGTTACTGGATATACAAAAAAAAAAAAAATCAGATGAGACTAAAAATTAAGACGGAATTAAAGATCCCAATTCAAGAGAGTAACTGGAATAGTTTCTTCCTGCTGGACTTACAAAACAGGCTTGCTAAAGTTTTGAAGAAATTCAAGACAAGGGACAATAATCATTTGAATGGATTAAAGAGCAAGATTGTTTTAAAGGGAAGGAACATAAAGTTGGCTTATTTGATCAGGGTTAAAATGGAATATGTCGTTATTTTGGATGGTTTTTTCTGGACTTGCTGCCATTTGGACAGGAAAAGACATTATGTATTGGATTTGCTTACAGTTAAGAGTTGAGATATGGAATGATACATTTTATATTTGTTAATTAATGTTATTATTTTAGGGTTCTGTTTGGACTTTTTGCTGACACCTGCATTGGAAAAGATGTTGCTTATTGGACTTGCCTATAGTCAAGAGTTCAGTTATGTGATGAAGAGTTTCATATCTGTTAATTAAGAGGAGGTGAAGAGATAGTGAAACTGTATCTACTTGTGATGAGGGTGGGAAGTCGCTTTCTTAGGGTTTTTTCCCTTTCCTTTCCTTTCCTTTCCTTTCCTTTCCTTTCCTTTCCTTTCCTTTCCTT